CCACACCCCCGTCTTTTGTAAATAACTCCTTGCGGCTGAGCAAAAGTTAGGTGTTAAGGGTTTGCATCTGACTGCTTGTTCTGTGAGGCTGGGACCTGAACAGCTGTGACGGAGCATGGGAGGAGGGGAGCGGGTCGAGCCCAGCGCCGGTGTGCAATGGCTCACCGAGCCCCTCTGCTTCCCAGTGTGGGGAACACCTGAAGGAATCCCTTCCCAGAGTTAACCAGACGTAGGCAGAAGTTTCCTTGAGTTAACACGTTTTTTCTGCCTGCTGGGCTGTTTTGCATTCTCCTGCAGCCTCCTCCGGGGATCCTCCATGGCTGCGCTGGGGTCCGGTGAGGCGCACTCAGCAGCACGAGGGCTTCAAAGATGTTTAGAGAACTGACCCTCTCTTCTCATTTGATGCTTGAATCAGAAACTTAATCAAGTCCTTTACCATGTTACCTAGATTCGGACGTCGGGATTAGCCAATGCCGTGTTGTTTGCGCTGATTATGTCAAGGAATTGGGGGGGCGGCAAAAAGGGGGGCAGGGGAGAAGGCCCAGCATGGCGGTGTGTTACTTCACAGCGTACCCGATGATGTGAGGCTGAATGGGCGTCCAGGGCAGCGCTACGCTTATGTGTTGTAATTTCAGCTCCGAGAAGTTGGCCTGTTCGAGATTCTTCCATATCTTTCTTGTTAGGCAGCATCCATCAAAGACGAGTTTCCAAGTCGGATAGCAGATCTGCTGCCAAAAATACTTCCAGCTGGAATGATCAGCGGCCACATGCTCTAAGAAATAGAAAGCGCCTCCCTGGGAAAGACAAAGTTGTCTTACAGAGCCGCAGCAGGCGCTGGGGTTACGCCGAACTTCTCCCACCATCCCGCCTCCTCTCACACACAGACCAGCATGTGTGCACTTTGCTCGCTCATCAGTATTCTCCCGCCCCTTCCCTGCCCGCTTTTTGCTTTTGTGGTGTCAGTTGGAATTAATGTAAGCCGGAAACTCGCAAAGATTCAAAATGCCTATTCAAAAAGCGTGAAGGATGTACTTATTTGATCCCTCTTTTATTACAGCAATAGTTTGTTGTCTTTTTGTTTCAATTACAGTTGCTAGCATGTCTCTTTTTTTGAAGGAAACTAAAAGAAATGTATAAATCCTACTCAAACTCATCAGTTTTTGACAACCTAGAGGATTGTCTTGAAAATGCCATTTTAAAGGCTGAAAATCTATTGCAAAAATACCCCAGCAAAACAGCTTTTTTTAATCTTTAGCTTGATTAGTATACTACAGGGAATGAACGCTTTTAATTACACTGTTCTAGTCATACAGGTAGATCAGCCCCACTTCTAAGAGGCTAAAGCAGTTTATTTAAAATACAGACTTTCAGTCTTGATCAGAGAGCTTCCCACGCAAAGAAGTGGTGTGTGTGGAGAGAGACGCCACCACAGGAACCAGTTCTGCTTTAAATGATATACTGTAATTACTTATAAAATTAGTGGCAGTTCTAGTTCCCAGACTATGTTACTTTGTTACTTTCAGGGTTTTACTTTTAAGAACAGGACAGACTGACCAGTATGTTGCTGCTGCTTTGCACCATTTAGCAGTGCAGAGTGGTTGTAAATCTGATTTAACTAGGGAAATAAGCTGGGTCTGGTTTGTAAGCTCAAAACCAACTTTTTTTTCTTTTTTATTTTCTTTTGGTGCATTGCCTCTGGAATAGAGGCTAAAGGTAGTAACAAAAGTTTTTATTCAGATACTCACTGGTCTGAGCACTCGCAGTACCTCCTTCAGGGTGCCGTCCACATTGCGCACAGAGCAGAGGACCAACGTGCAGACAACGGCGTCCACAGAACCGCTGGGCACCTGGTGCAGGTCTTCTCCGGCAGCTACTAGGAAACGCTCGTAGTGGACGTGCTGGTTCTTGTTCATGCTTCTCGAAAGGCCTTGCTGGAAGTTGGGGTTTATGTCAGTGCACGTGACTTTGCAGCCTGGTGGGTAGAACTGAAAGTTAGCACCGCAGCCGGTCCCAATCTCCAGCAGCTTCAGCTCTCCTGAGGGGCTCGTGAAGTCAGGTAGATTACGAAATAGCTCCTGTTTCTGCTTCTTTGTTTTCCTCTCATGAATTGCACAAAACCTCTCTAAGAAGAAAGGAAAAAAAATCTTCTTACAGAAAGGCTCCCATATGCCCAGGAACGACAGCAGGTAGATGGGCATGGCAAGCAGCGCAAGGCAGGCACGGAAGAAGAGGATGCTGGCCTCTGTCATTTCCAGCGTGGGGCAGAGGATCCGTTCTGAACAAAACGAGTTCTTCTGTGTATTAGAGCCCTTGAAATTCAGACCGAGCTGCATTCATGTACTTGCCGTCTTCCTCTTGAAGTATATTCAGCTCCTTGGATTGATCTGGTAGACTTTTCTCTAAAGCTGATTTTAGAGTCCAGTCACAGGCAAGGAAGGGAGAAACAGGACTGCATACCGGACAGTTGCCGTAGCGTCCCAGCTCTGGCAGAAGAGGAGCTGCCAGTCTGTTACGTAACCCGGATAAACTGGGCAGTACAACCTTGTATGTAACCACTGGCAAAAAGTCATAACATGCCCTAATTTGGTGTTCAGCAGTTTCAGGTTACAGTTCATATCTCTTAAAGCCATTGTATGTTGTTTAGCAAGCTGAAGGAAATTAATCTGAACTCTGGGTTTGCTGTAGGCGTTTCGTTAGGAGTTTGATAAACATTTCATTTAAAATGCATTTGTTTAAGAATTAATTTACCACCCTGTTGTAAGTAGCTGGGTGAGCTAGTCAGCTACTTGCTCTGTGCTTTCTCTGCAACAGCAATTTCCAGTCTTCCCACTTTGTGGACACCTAAAATACTTTGGTATGCACATATGGGCTCCTTTGCAGTGAAAGAGCTTGCTTTTCTTAGTTATCTTTCAGACCTTTGATGGGAATCATGGAACAGAGATAAAACAATTTATTAATTCAATAATCACTGCATACAGTATATGGCTTGGTTTTATTAACTTCATAAGCTTGAGTCAACAATGAGCCGTCCATCCTATGCTAAATGCATTCTGTAAAACTTTTTCAACTTTGCAGTCGCCAGTACTTTTTCAAAGGACTTGGTGTTAATGTAGATTAGCCACTAGCATTTAATTGCCCTGCTCCAGGTGAGCCTAGTGTAATCAGGTCCCTAATAAAGGCAGTTAAATTGTGAATTGCATTGGAGAATTTTGTTTTTCTGTTGAATGATAGGTAGTCCCGTTGTCCGATGAGTTGCCTCCTCCCTCTAGTGGTAATAAACATAAAATCTAGCATACGTCAGCATCATCGTTAGACTGCTTTATTAACGAACTCTATTATCATACCTTCATACCTCCACCTTGTGGCAACTACATTAGAGAAACAAATTTGAACAATGGGAATTACTTTCTGTGTAGACTAGTTGGATGCGTACGGACCACAAAATAGAGACATTAATCCATTATCTTCTTATAAATATAATCTGTACCAGGTTTTAATTCCTTGTTGCTATACTGCAGGAAATCATAGAAAAGATTAAACAGTGGCCAAGAGAGCAGCCCCTTCTCTTGGTGTCCTAGGGGATTTTAACTAGAAAACATTTCTAATGAAACTCCTGGCTTTTTAAAGAGACCTCTTTAAGGTGTGATCTAGATTGGAGGGAGAGTAGAAAACGAAGAGTTTAAGCATAGGTAAAACATGTTAATAGAGCATGACAAAAGGGCTCTAAGGACCCGGCTGATCTCGTAACAGCATTTTACAGTGGAGATGAGGTTTCTGCCATCTGATTTAAGAAATGCCAGTTTTCTCCCAGTATAAAGAGAAGTTCTGGTTTTTGCTTTGTAGGTGGCTGTTTCAGGTTAAGTCTGCGCTGAAGGCATTAGCATCTAGCCGCCAGCGAGAACTATGCCTAGTGAACTGGTGGTGTAATGAGCGCTTCCCTGAATAAACAAAAGTCCTGTCAGCGAGGACTGTACTGGCACGGGCAAACGAATGCCTGCTCGTAAATATATTTCATAATGGGAAGACTGAAATAAAAATGCTCGTACTGATGCTGTATCTATTATGCATATATCCTGTATCGGAAACGTTAGAGGTTGGGCATTACTCTTTGCGCTTAGAAGCACGTTAGCCTTCTGTACTTTCTTGCTTGTTATCTTCTGTTCCCTTTCTTCCCTCTCCCCCTTCTCAACTCTCTAAGATGCTGACTCCTCCTTTATTTTATATTGGACTGAAATGCGTTGTCTAGATTTCTTTCCGGTTTGCCTGGTGCCTGTGCAGCAGCTCTATTTCAGAGCTCTATTCAGAAAGCCTATCTAACAAACGGAAGAATGTGATTCCAGGTTTGAATGTGCTGTGGCTGCTCAGGAAGTTTCCCATACTTTTATTCTGGGTAGCCAGCTGCTGTAGATGGGCTGACTGTAAGGGTGAAAAACCTTCTATAAAGCACGAAAGGAGTACTGAAGGGAGGTCCTGTGTCCCGCAGTGCTCGTGGTCATTTATTTTACTGCATACCCAATGATATGAGGACTAGTAGGAATCCAGTAAGGTGTGACACGAATGCACCTCAAATTCAGTTCTGAGAAATTAGTTTTCTCCAGCTCCTTCTGTGTCTCTCTGCTCAAGGAACACCCATCTCCAAAATACTTCCAGACTGGGTCACAGACCTTTTGCCAAAAGTAGGTCCAACTGGAGTGATCTGCAGCCACGTGCTCCAAAAAGTAGAAAGCTCCACCCTGGAAAACAGTGCCATAAAAAAAAAATTAAGAGGACTTAGGCCTGTTCACCTCTGTATGCAGAATTTTATCTTTTGCATATTGGTAAACACGCTGCCTTGTATCACCTCTCTGAAGACCAGCCTCCTTTCCTAGATGTTATGCATGCCAGAGTCATGTTTGTTTTGAACTGTGAAGTCTCTAAAATTGCCTCCCATTCAGTTTTCGTGGAAGATGGTGCTTATTCCTGGATGACTACACGTTTACTGATGGGCACAACTTAGGATTGTGCAAGAGGCAGTGCGGTCAGAAACCGCCAGGTTTCTGTCTCTGCCTTGGATGATCTTGGACAAACCACTTTAACTTCCTTGTGTTTCAGTTTTTCTCATCTGAGAAATGTGAATAAACAATTTGCTTACCCTACATGCCAGCAAGGAAAAGAGTTTATTTCTTAATGTTTATAAAACATGTGAGATAGCTTTAGCAAGCAGCAACCTAGTGTCCCAGGCTACAGTCAGCGTATGTAGTGCGTAATAGTTTTGTCATTGTCAGTCTTGTGAACCCTATCAATGTTTAATTGTATCTTTGACCACATCTGTTCAATGTCTTTCCGTGTTTATAAATAACAGATAAAAAGCAAATCTAGTATTGTAAGCAAACCTTTCTCATAAAACTTGTTCACTGGAGCCAAACGGAGAAGTCAAGCGTTCAGTCAGCTGATGTTTCCTTCCTCTTCTTAGTGGAGTGTTTTGAGTATGACCTTATTCCCTCTTCCCTAGTTTTGCTTTGTAAGAGTGTACAAGATTGCCTCGAGGAATTAATTAGGTTTTCAGCCACATGCAGGGCCGAACTCTCATTTACACATGGAGGCTCTGGCCAGTTACACAGATTTAGCTCACCTGTGTGGACAGGATTTGTGTTAAGTTTAATTTACACTCTTCCCCAGTTATTGTAACTGGAGAAAAAAGTACTGGAAGAGAGAGATGCGAATGTGGCGTTTTACAAGTGTCACCTTAGATTATAATGAAAATACCTGTTTAGGTGGACAAGTTTTAAAGATAAGAGAGAGAATCGCTAGAGAATACACATGGCAACTATGAACGGAAATCGTTGTTAATAATTTACCTGTGGTACAAGTCACATCCCTTCCTGCTTCCCTGCCCTTAGCCCACCATTGTACTGCAGTAATCCTGCTTGTCCAGTACTGCTCTGCTCCTCCTCCTCCTAGCTCCCAGCACCTCCTGGGCTTTTTTGGCGGGGGTATCTTTTTGTTTTTCTTCTTTTTCTTTCTGAAACGGCTTTGGCCTTGGAGTTTTTGCAGGCTGCCCAACTGCAAGTGCAGGAGCCGGGCTGCCCGGATTGAGAAGCTGCGTCTCACTTGCCCGGGCAATGGGCACCACCCTGCAGGTGCCCCAGGCCCTGCGCTGCCTGGCAGCACACCAGTCCTGCCGCGGAGGGAGCGGGGAAGCAGGCTGAGCTGGCTCTTTCATCTGCAGGTGAAGCAGCGCAAAAGAAAATGACTTGTGAGTGGCTAAGCGGGTGATGGTTGATTTTAAACTCTTCCTTGGCCTGGTGCGGGTGATTGCATGTATCCTAAATGTGGGTCAGTACAGACAACTCGGCTTACCGCGACACAAATCGGCATCCCCAGTCTCCCTCGCGCTGCCCCAGCTTACCAGCCTGAGCACTCGCAAAACCTCCGTCAGGACTTTCTTGACGTTGGTCACAGAGCACAGCACCAAGGTGCACACCACCACGTCCACGGTGCCGTCCGCTATTTGGTGCAGATCCTCGCCAGAAGCGACCACCAAGTGTTCAAGCTTGAGGTGCCGGTTCTCCGAGAGGCTCTTGAGGAGGAACTTTCTGAAATTGGGATTAGGGTCGGTGCACGTCAGCCGGCAGCCCGGCGGGTAGAACTGGAAATTGGTGCCGGTGCCCGTGCCGATTTCCAGCAAGACCAGCTGGCCCGAAGGGCCCGCAAATTTTCTTAAGTTGCCGAACAGCTCCTGCTTCTGCTTGTAGACCTTGTGGTTGTAGATGGGCGCCACCTTGGCCATGACGTATGGAAAGAGTTTCTTATAGAAGGAGTCCCACAAGCCCAGGCAGGCGAGCGCATGGATGGGCAAGAGGAGGAGCTGAACGCACCGCCGGAGGAAGGAGACCAGCACCATCCCCGCTGCCAGGGCCGCCTCTGACCCGGATGTGTCCG